TAAATGTGTCGACAAATATTGATACTTATTTAGGTGTAAGAACTCGTGTTTGACCAACTTCCACCATTGCAAGTTGTTAAAATAATGAAATAAATATACTGGTATCATTGGATATTTGATTTAATTGTGAAACTTTCTAACAAAATGTTAACTGCTGGCTTCGAACCCTCAATCAACAATTCCGCAGACACGGTATAAATTCCACAACACCACAGAAGATATTCGTCTGTTGCCTGAATTGTTTTCGTAATATAGGGAACGCCATCGACACTTTAACAAAACTTACCTTGACTTGGGTCTTGCTCATCTCATGTCACAATCTGGAAACTGTTGAACAAATTGCGCGTCGTCCAGTTTAAGACGTTAGTTATTTTATTATTTATTCATTCAGTTTTGTATGGTGGAGTTTTGTGAGGTTTATTATTTTTTTGCGACGTTCTTTGTTTACTTGTTTACGGTTTGAAAGATTTCAGTTTATTTGATTTACGTTTTTACGGTAGCTCTGAGCGGGACTCGAACCCACTGTCTTTTCAAGCTGATTTTGTTTTATTTTGATGGCACGCTTGTGTACCACGCCACGACGTTGGTCGTTAAGTGGTGTTCATTTTTCTAACTACTCCAGTGTTCCGATGAGTTGAACGGAAAAGCCAAAACGATTGCTGGTTTCTGATTGCTTCGGTTCTGGTGAGTGTGTATCTAGTGTGATTCGAACCCATGTCGTTTGTATTGGGCGTTTTTTTATTTTCCATTTTAGCTACGCCGTAATATGCAACCACTTCCCCGTTTTATTGTGATTTTGAGTGTTTAATGATGTCTTCCTCACCCGTCACGCCATGACCCAGTTTCAACCACACGGCCATTTTGCAACACAGTTCGTGACCCTCGGCGTCACCCGACTGACTATATGAGCGTTCTGTTCAACTGTTAAGCTAGGATTTATTACCGTTATTATCATTATATTGTCACGTGATTTGTTTTACCTTATGTGTAATGTCTTAAGTATCTTTATTGTAATTTGTATATACCAATTCGTATATACCGAGGAAACGACCCCGATTGAAGGTCATGTATTTTATGACGTCACCAATTCGTGTGTAGGTACTGCTTCTAGATCTGTGCCAAAATGGAAAAAGAGTGTTCCAATGACAGGCGAAACCTGCAAGGTTATGAATAGCAGAAACCGTATTTTTTACTACGAAACACAGTCCCTCTACGAAACAAAGTCGGACGAGTCGACAACAGACAAGTCGAGTGAAAACCCAAGTGACATCTGCTCCACCGCACTGGAGACTGGGGACACCACCGTAACTACCTCGAATGCTGACGATGAGGACACCACTATACTGTCATTGGAGGCTGACGACACAACATCAACATACAGGATGAGCATGATGTCGAAACGAAAAATATCGCCAACGAAGTTTGCAGTATCTGGTAACGCTTGC